TTGTCTTGATTCAAATGGGTGTCTAGAGGTGGAGCAAAGACGCAATGGGACATGGGAAGTGTGAAGCAGCCAGCTGAGACTGAAATCCAGAAACACGCAGAGTAGTGCTGTGCTGACGTCAGCAGCCACAGCACAGCAGCTTGTCTGGGTTCTCACATAGAGAACCACCTGGGAATTAAATTCAGCAAAAGACAAAGAGTTTCCTTTCCACCAAGGTTTCTTCATCTTTTTGAAGAGCAAAAAAAAAAAAAAACAAACCAACAAAGGAAAGAGAATAAAAGAGAGATGGCCAGTGGTGACACCCAAAATAATGGGCCTGGGAATAAGGAATATACCATATAATCCAAGTCTATAAATTCAACGTTTCCTGCTACAACGGGGGGCTGTGCACAGTAATAGGAAACACATGGAGCCTAACTTACTGGCAAGTCTGTGTCATTTGTCTGAGCTACTTCAGTTTTCTTTAGGAATCCACTCTGCTTCTTTAAGCATCTGAAGCCAAGCTCCCTGTCAAGAGAGGTTACGAACACAGTGTTGCTCACTTGCTCATTCTCTGGAGGATTTGTTTCTGAGCAGTGGGGAATGGAACCCTCTGAGAACACAATGACATTTTCATTTGTGACTGAACTCTTCTGTTCTGTTGCTGTTCCTTTTAGGGACAGGAAAAAATGTTCCTGGCTATTTTGGTTTGTGGCTACTCAAAACTTCATTACAGATCATAAAGCAAGTTTAACTGCTGGGAAGTTCCACTGGAGTTCATTTAAAATCTATTTACATGGTAAGGTGGTATGACTTCCTAAAGGCTATCTTTTAATGTAAGAGATACATTTTAATATAGCTGCAGCTTCTACAAAACTACATCTTATTTGCAATGTGAACAGGATCAGAGAAATTCACTAGTCAAGTAGAGAAGAAAAGACCATCAGATAAAGGCAATTTTGAAATCTTGTATCTGCTGTTGGATGTGGAATGATTCCATGCAACCAAAAGTAAATCTAGAGTTGCCAATAAATCCCATTAGCACCATCATGATTACTGCTTGTTCAAGGTTAACAGCGTTGCCTTGGATGCTTCATTATGATACAAATACTTCTGTTAGCATTTGTTTCTACATCTCACTACCATGCTTCCCTGTCTCTTGACACATTAATACGACTTCATCGTGCTTGGAATGGCGAGAATGACAGCAATTCATAACTGTTGAACTATCAAAACCACTTGAGTAAGACCCTTGAAGGAGCATGCCCCACATCAGGGACCTGGAATGGGTGGGAAACTGGGTGGGGCTTCTCTCTTTTTCTCCACCTTTACCCCAGATACAGAAAAGAAAGAGAGAGAAAGAGAGAATGTGGAAATAATATCTTACTCACTTTCCTGTAGCCCTTGAACCTTTATACCCTAATTAACCATGCAAAGATTGTAAAAAAAAAAATGACAAGACAAAATACCACCCATTCTTATTAACCCTGAATGTAAATGGATTAAACTCATGAATCAAGTATCATAGACTTGTAGACTGGATAAAAACACAAAACCCATCTATTTGTTGCCTACAGGAGACACATCTCACCAACAAAGATCAGCGGAAACTACATCTCATGGATTTGGATTTGTTTTTTAGTTTTATCTCTTAAAAACACTTTTTTTCTCATTAAATTCTTCAGTGACTCATAGATCATATAGTAGCATCATTGTCCTCAAGAAACTTCTTGATTTTCCTTTTCATATTTTCAGTGACACATTAGTCATTCAGTAGCATGTGATTTAACTTCATGGCATTGTTAATTTCTTTTGTTTTCTTCCTGCTGTTGATTTTGTTTCGTGGCTTTTCATTTAAGGGGATCCACAATAACTGTGTATTGGATGCTATCTATCCAGTGACATGTTGTATAACTTCATGATGTTATAAATTTCTATTTTCCCTCATGTTGCTGATTTTATTTTGTGACTTTTCATTTAAGGGTATGTATAGAACTGTGTAATTGAGACTATCATATCCAGATTTAAGGATACAATGTAGTATGATCTCTACTTCCAGATCAAAGTTTGGACTCCCAATAAAACTGTTTACTATATCCTGACAATAGGATGCTGGACCCTCTGCCATTGTCCATGCCTACAATAATGAACTTATGACTTTTTATGAGTAGCTATACTGTTGTAATAATGTAGGAGAAATCAGTGCTGTGGGGAGAGGGGATTTTTTTGGAGGAGATAAGGGAAGTCTCAGGCCATATGGAACTGTATCATAAAATGATAATAATAATTTAAGCTAAAAAAAAGGAAACACTATCAACAATACACTGGGATTTATTCCTTTTTCATTGTCATGATTCACTAAAGGATCTCATAACCTACTCATTGAATAGAAACCTAAAGCCTTAAAGATTTCTGTTCTTGTATACAATATTAGCAAATAGTTTATTAATCTTTCTTCCAGGAAATATCCAGAAATAAATCTTGTTTCCTAATACCAGTTTTACTGCACTCATATCTGTTCTGGAGACATTCTTTTGGAATGCATCTGGTCATTCTGACTTCAGGGGTCCAGAAGTCAATACACATGTGCTTTTACCAAGAAAAAAATTTAAAAATCAGGATCACCATCTCCATCGTTCATTCTTTCTGACATCAGCCCTGACTCCCTGGATTCTGAACATCTCTTATCCCACCTCCAGGCCTCCAGAAATACTCCCTAAGATGAAGTCTTCACAAGAACTGAGTAGAAATGTATCCAGCTTAGGTCATTCCCTTGAGTAATATCTGCAGAGACCCTTCTTGAATTGGAAACGGTTTAGAAAGTAATGGAATGGGAAAAAAAACAGATTTAAAACCTCTAACTCTTCATAAAATGGGACAAAATGCAGCTGTGAGAAAAGAATGAAGCTGATCTGTGTTTTTGAAACCCATCTCCAAAATACCCTGCTAACTCAAAAGCGTTGGGTACAGTAGACTTCCATAATTTCTAAAAGGGAAGTAAGTACTTAGAATATTTCCAGAAACTTTCAAAGCATACAAGTAACAGAAATTGCTTCTAGAGAAGAATAATATAGGGCAAGGTGTCCAGAATTGTGGAGGCATAATGTTTGTACATGCTTTTCTCTGCTGTTTGAAATTTTTATTTTTGTATATATACATGGAATGCTTTTTCTTTTTTTCTAATTTTAAAAATATGGAATGCTTCACGAATTTGCATATCATCCTTGCGCAGGGGCCATGCTAATTTTCTCTGTATCATTCCAATTTTAGTATATGTGCTGCTGAAGCGAGTACAGAACAATTTTTCAATGAAAACGGATACATTTTTAAAAGAAATATCACATTAGAGAGTTATTAGCAGACCTATTAGGGTAAAAGCAGATTGTGAGAAATTGTATAAATAAATGTTTATTATAACATAAAAACCATTTTCTGTTTCATTTACATATCTTGTACAGTTTACAAAGAGTTCCACATCCATTGCCTCACTTGCAGTTTATAAAATCTACTGGAATAAGTATGAGAAGCACTAGAAGTGATGTTTTACAAATGAAAGTGAATGATAAACCTTAATCTAACAGAATGAAAAACCTAGACATATTTCCAGAGTTAGAGTTACCAAGTAGCTTAGAAACAGCAGCATTGTAAAAGCCTTTGGTGATATGCTTTGCTGTATAAATTGCTTACCTAATAAATTCTTGCATAAAGGAAGAAGGAGGCAAGGGAAAAACGCTCCTGAACATTTTTGTAAAAATGTCTATAACAATAGGACATAAATTAACAACTAGCAACTGGTTGAAAATTAACATTACAGAAAATATATTCATAAATTCACTAGATTTTCAGTTTTGGATTACAAGAAATCTAACATAGTTGTGTAAGTGGAAAAAGAGGCAAACTACAAACATCACTACTAAATCTTGAAACATACCTCCAAAGTTTATAGGTGAGGATTATAGTAAGCCCAGTTTCCCTGAGACAGTCCTAACCTACACCTTCTGTCCCCATAGAATTCCTCTTGGCACCCCTTTCGCTGTCAGTCACACTATGTTTGGATGACAAAACTACTAATTTAAAAAAATGTCACTTTATTCACATATCCCTATAAGACACCCATTTTCCAAAATTGAGATTCATCCCCAAACTGAGAATTACCTTTGTTCATCCAAAAGCTGGGTGATTTATACTTAGCATTTAACACCACATATGAGTTTCAAATCAGAAAGAGAAGTTTCCCAAAGCACTGCCCACCAGCGACTGGCTTTGTCAGAAAGATTATTAGTGGAAATAGTCTTGGGTCTGGTTTAGAAGTTTGGGCATGTTGAGGTTTAAAAGGGAACTAGAAACCAAGTTTGACTTGGTAGGCTGTTGTGAAGACACGTAATTGATACCATTCAATGCACTTTTGAATACAGAGAACATGGCCCTGTCTCCAGAGTCAGTCAGTCATATATTCATGTAACATTTGTATGTTTAACACATGCAGAGTGATGGCTGAAAACAAAGCTCTGCTTTTAGCATCACATCTGACTCATCAATGGTTTTAGAACTCACACTGAATTTTCAATGCAATGTGATACTAAACATCAGATTTTGTTTTCTAAACCAGCCTTCAAATACTTTTCTCTTCAGCTTGTTTTAGAATTTCTACAAGTTGCTACTATTCCAGTTGATAATACATATTTTAAAATTATCCCCATAGCCCAGTAGATGTAATAGCTGCTGTGTTGGGTTTTTCACATTGCAAATACATTTTCCACAGATTTACACTTTAAAAAATCTCTTCAGAACATGGATACCATCCAATAGACATGTACTAAAGATTATGCATTCATATTCTCTAAGAGAAGTGAGACTTGATTCCAAATATGGCAGCTTGTCTTGATTTCCCTTGTTGCTTTTCAGGATGCTCTCTGTGTCTTGTTTATTCCTCTCCTTTCTTTACTTTCATTGAAATCTTTATTTCCTACCAATTACTCTTCAGTTCTAACAAGAAGAATCTTGGGGGTATTTCCTTTGCTCTAGTCATCACTGGTTGAGTGATTACTATCACTGCCTTCACTGACACTGTCACTGTCACTTCCACTGCTGTTGCCATTACCAGGTTTGTTCTGGTTGTCACTGTCATCACTGCTGTCTGAGGTGTTTTCACTGTTGTCACTATCACTGCTGTCACTGCTGTCACTGTTGTCACTGTCACTGCTGTCGCTGTCATTGTCACTGCTATCACTGCTGTCACTGCTATCACTGCTATTACTGCTGTCACTGTCACTGCTGTCACTGTCACTGCTATCGCTGCTGTCACTGTTGTCACTGCTGTCACTGCTGTCACTGTCACTGCTATCGCTGCTGTCACTGTCGCTGCTGTCACTGTCACTGCTATTGCTGCTGTCACTGCTGTCACTGTCACTGCTATCGCTGCTGTCACTGTCACTGCTGTCACTGCTGTCACTGTCACTGTCACTGCTATCGCTGCTGTCACTGTCACTGCTGTCACTGCTGTCACTGTCACTGTCACTGCTATCGCTGCTGTCACTGTCACTGCTGTCACTGTCACTGCTGTTGCTGCTGTCACTGTCACTGCTATCACTATCACCATTGTCATTATTCTCAGATTTGCTGTCACTATTGTTGCTGTCACTGCTGTTGCTGTCTGATTTGCTGTCACTATCACTGCTATCACTATCATTACTGTCACTGCTCTCACTGTCACTGTCACTACTGTCGCTGTCTGATTTGCTGTCACTGTCACTGCTGTCACTGCTGTCACTGTCACTGCTGTCACTGCTATCACTGTCACTGCTGTCACTACTGTCACTGTCTGATTTGCTGTCACTGCTGTCACTGTCACTGTCACTGCTGTCACTGTCACTGCTGTCACTGCTATCACTGCTGTCACTGCTATCACTGTCACTGCTGTCACTGTCACTGCTGTCACTGTCACTGCTGTCACTGCTCTCTGATTTGCTGTCGCTGTCATTGTCACTGTTGTCACTGCTATCACTATCATTGCTGTCACTGCTGTCACTGCTGTCACTGTCACTGCTGTTACTGCTGTCTGATTTGCTGTCACTGTCTGATTTGCTGTCACTATCACTGCTGTCACTGTCACTGTCACTGCTGTTATTGCTGTCACTGCTGTTGCTGCTGTCTGATTTGCTGTCGCTTTCACTGCTGTCACTGCTGTCACTGCTGTCGCTGCTGTCACTGTCACTGCTGTCACTGTCACTGCTGTCGCTGCTGTCACTGCTGTCACTGTCACTGCTATCGCTGCTGTCACTGTCACTGTCACTGCTGTCGCTGCTGTCACTGTCACTGTCACTGCTGTCATTGCCACTGTCACTGCTGTCACTGTCACTGCTGTCACTGCTGTCACTGTCACTGCTGTCACTGCTGTCACTGCTGTCACTGCTGTCACTGTCACTGCTGTCTGATTTGCTCTCAGTGTCACTGGCATCACTGCTGTCTGAGTTACCATTGCTGTTGTCTGAGTATTCATCATCATCATTTCCATTATTACCATTGTCATTACTGTCACTATCACTGTTTTCAGATGTGCTGTCACTGTCATCATCATCTCCTTCCCCATCAGAGTCACTGCCATTGTCTTTACTTTGTGATTCATCAGAGTTGTTAGAAGTATCTCCTTGGCTACCACTGTCTTTGTCACCTTCTGAATTAGTATCATCACTGCCATTAGACTCATTGCTGCTGTTGGGATCATCTCCTTGCATTGACTCATCAAAATCGTAACTGTTGCTGTCACTACCTGTTTTGCTGGACCCTGTTTGACTTCCAGGTACCAGTTTCTGACCAGCTCCTTGAATGCTGTCAATCTCTTCTTGTTTCTTGACATTCCCTTTACTCATGATCACTCCATCTTGTCTTTCACTTTTTTTTTCTTCGGGGAATTTTTCAGCTTCTTTTGTCATATTATTTCTGATGCCACTGATGGGATTTTTTATTCCTATCCCCTAGAGTACAGTAAAGAAAAGAATGATTAATTACTGGATATTTAAAACAAAATTACATTGATCTGAGGAAGGTTTACTGGGAATAGTGACCATTGGAATTGAAGATCAGCTTCCAATATTTAACATTCTTTAATGAAAACTTGAAAGTATTCTGGTATTTAGATTCTGGAACAACCCATCCATGTTGCTACTTAATAGGAACTTTTGCAATTACACGATGAATCCATTATTTAACAAGAGTTTTCTAGAATTGTAACTGAATTTACAAAAATGTCTGATTTCTAAAATTGCTCTAAGTATTCAAGATGCAAAAAAAAAGGATGTCTCTCATAATTTACTTTTATGCTACCAAAAGTGAGTTAAGGGGAATAATTTAAACTGAGACTGAAAGAAATTGACTTCAGAAACTAACCTTAACTTGGCTCTTCCCAATAGTGCTTGGTACTGATGCTTCAATTACTTCATTTTTCACATCTGTGCACTCTCCATGATTAAATTTCTGGGTGTGCTCTACTCTCTGGCAACCACCAGCCGCTGCAGTCCAATCCAAGTCTTCCTCCCTCCTCCCTCCATCAGTGTTTTCAGGGCTACTGGAGTTTTGACCTGTGCTATTGTCATTGTCATCTTGCTTTCTATGACCCTGCCTTTCCTGGTCTTTGCTGTTATCACTGCCCTCTCTTCCATTCCCTGCTTCTTCACCTCCATCATCACCAGAGCCCTGGCCTTCATCTTCTTCTTCTCCATTTCCACTGGGACTCCCATCAGAATTTGCCAGGCCACCATCTTCTCCATTGCCTGGTGTTACCTCGGTCTCATTATTTCCTTTACTCTGACCTTCTCTTGGAGGCACTATAGCACTTGTATCAACCTTATTACCTAAGGAATTCCCACTTATTTCATCCTCATGGTGTGTGCTGTTATTGCCTCCATTTTGGGGGAAAATAGCAGCACTTTCACTGTGACTTGCATCTCCAACTTCCCTGTTTTGTGTGTCCTCTTCAGTATTGCCATAAATATCACTCTCTCTTTCTGTTCCAGCATTGTTTACAGTTCCTACTTGTCTCCTAATGTCATTTGCTGTGTTGTTATCTTCTTTCCTATGTGGCTTATCATTACTGTGAGTTTCCAGATATCCTGTGGTCCTATTTAGATCCTCAGTATTTCCCTCTCCGTTGGCTAAAATGGAATATGTGGGAGAGCTCTTCCCACCTACTTCTGGCCACTCAGAGTGATTCCCTTCTTCTTTGCTATACTGTTGTCTTTCTCCTTCTCTTTCTGGTGTGAGAACATCACTTTTACCAGCAGTGTCATTGGTATTTAACTCATCCTGAAAAATAAAAATAATTCAGAGTGAATTGGGAGTATTGGGGGTAGAAATTTGGCACAGTGCCTAATATGCCAGTTAAGACACCTGCATCTCATATCAGATCGCCTTGATTTGAATCCTGGATCTGCTCCTGACTCCAACCCTCTGCTAATGTACAATTTGGAAGGCAGCCAATGATGACTGAAATACTTGCACTCTTGCCACCCATGTCAGAGAGCTGGAAGTAGTTCTCGGCTTTTGGCTTCTCGCTAGTCCCATTCTGATTGTTGTGGGTATTTAGGGAGGGAACTGATGGAAGAGTCTTCTCTCGTTTTCTCTCTTTCAGATAAATAAAACTTTTTGTAAGGTTATAGGTTTCATCAGGGGAAAAGGTGAATTGTAAAAATGAGTGATCATTTTGGGAAAGTTAATGGAATCTAAAAACAAGATAGAATAGAAAATAAAATAAAATACATATTATATGTTATACCTGAACATGTACTTTCGGTGTTGCAAGCAGATGTAAATTTACAGATTTGTCAATAGTATGTCTTTCCAATGGTTTTATTTGAGGAACCTGCCAAAATAAAAATATTGAGTATTCAAAATGTTCTGTCTTGTTCTCTCTCTCTCTTTCTCTCTCACACACATACACACACATTTTCCTTTAATAGCAGAAAAATAACAGAAAGACCAATTCAGTATCAAATCATGTAGAAAAGGTAAATGCCTTTTTATAGGGCCTGTGTAGATTTACTCTAAGCATATGGGTGTTTTCCATTACAGGATTACTGTTTTTACTGAAACATTGACCACACCACTATTTAAGTGCCAAAGAACAGTCTTGTGAAAATGAGGAGATAGATCATTGGTGTTTTTGCACATTAAGCATCTTGAAACAGAATACTGATTCTGTATACACTCTTGGCCAAAATTTCCATTAGATCAAGAGGAATGAACAGACCAGTGCAGAGGCAAAATTAAGTAAAATACTTCTGTACCTCACAGGAGCACACTGAAAAGTCTTGAGTATATTCTTGACCACATAAGTGTCAAAATGTTTAGAGTTATGAAAACTTAATGAAAATGTTAAAAATGGAGGCTTACTAATACAATTTACTTTCCTTTCTTGTTGTGCTTTGAAATAGCACGAATTTGCCACAGTAAACATGCAGAATAACTCTCTGAGTGAAACATTAGCTTTCTCATATATTGAGAAATTTTTATACTGCAACTCTTCCAAATTTCCTAAGCAGTGCAAACTTTATTGCTTTGTTGATAACAGAATGAACTTCACCATGGGTGAAACAAAGACATCCAAAAGTATGACATCTGAGCATTGCATTTAGGTTTATCTGAATGAATTTTCAAAATGATAATCCTCTGACAAGATATGAGCTCCAATTGTAGAAATGAAAGCACAAATTGGAGCATATATCGAATTTCTTGAGACCCCCACATAATCTTGAAATTTATTTAGTGTAATGTGAAGTATTTAGATTCAACATATCTACAAAGTCTTAAGGAAGTTATATATATATATATATATATATATATATATATACATACATATATATGTCTGTGTGTGTATTTATATATTAGGCTATAAGAAATATCAAAGGCTAAAAGAAATATCAAAAATATCAAGTAAGTTTTCCTCATGGTGGCATACTTACTGGAATGGCCCATGCTATCGTCCAAATGCAAAAATATATTATTATCTTCATTTTCTTTAGAAATAAGGATTATAGGCTGTTTAAGAAAAAACATGAAAATTTACTTATCAACTATGAGATGAAAACAACAGTGATGCTTTATTTTAGTCTCTAAGTATTTACACTTTCCCAGGATAAGGAATGTGTACCCAATATTAGAAGACTCAGGAGAGTCCAAAAGATGCCTGCTGTCATGGAGACACTTTGAGGATGTCCCAGGCTCAATACTGGCATGACTTCCTAGATTTGTTCTTACCTATGACAATGAAGGGCAACAGCCAGGCAGGCACAAAGTGCAAGACCCTAACTCTGAATGTCTGCTATTCATGGGAGTAAGGGCATCTCTCTCTTCCTCCTCTTCAACTTTTATCCAGCTTTAATGAACTGTACTACGAGGTGCTTAAAAGATGAAGCACTTATCATCTCCACCCAGAATCTATAGAATTGAAGATACTAGACTTGATGAGAGAGGCTAGTGGAAATGACTCTGGCCTCATGGTTTCCATGAAGAGACCTGACCTCAGATTCTGCCTACATGAGCTTGAGGAAGTGTTAGTGACTTATGGAAGTCTCTGCTTCCTCTCTAGGGTGGCCATCATCTGCACCCCAAGAGGAGGCTGGGATTTAGCAGAAATCCCTGAGAACCTGCCACAGCCCTGCTATAAGATGTCTTTACATCCTCTCTTTTTTTCAATAGTCATGCTATATTTTTATTCTCTTTTTCTTTTTAACTTACTCATATAAAGTGAATAAATTCATGTATTTGACAATGCATATTCAGGAGCTCAGTGGTCCTTCCTATTCTACCCTCCCTCCTGTCCCCACATTTCCCTCCCACCCTCTTGCTTCCTTACTTTAAAAAAATTTTTTACAATGGCATATTTTTATTTCACTTTACAATCAGAGGCTTAAAACATCATTAGGTAAAGAATTCAACAAATAGCAAGTAGAGGGGGAAAAAACTATGATTCCTCAAGAGTAAAGACCACAGGTTGTGAACAATAGTCAAATCTCAAGGTGTCAACCTCATTCATATAGATTACACTTTTTTAAAGACTTGTTTATTCTACTTGCAGAGTCAGAGTTACAAAGAGGGAGAGACAGAGAGAATTCCCATCTGCTGGTTCACTCCCCCAGATGGCTGCAAAACCTAGAGCTGAGCAAGTTCAAAAAAGACTCAGGTGCTTCTTCCAGGTCTCCCACATGCAGAGTCCCAAGGACGTGGCCATTCTCCCCTGTTTTCCCAGGCCACTAGCAGGGAGTTGGATGGGAAGTAGAGCAGCTAGGACATGAGCCAGCACTCATAAGGGAGGCCACTGGCAGTAGGCTAAGGATTATCTTTTTACACTGCTTGCTGACCCCTAGATGATTACCCTAGATAGATTACATTTTTTTTTTTTAGTCTCTGTGTATCAGTTACCACAGATTGGGGAAAGCATGATATTTGTCTTTTTAGACTGTCTTATTTCAATAGTAGGAAACACATGATATGATATACTACTCAGACATAAAATAAAAACCAAATAGAATTCTGATTTTCACAACAAATTGAACGCAGCTGAAAATCCTTGTGTTTCTCACTTTTTCACACCCAACAACCCTTGCACATCTTGCTGGGAACATACTGCACTGCATTAAAATCCCCTGGTTGTTTGAAAGTTCTCCTGTTCTACAGAGATCTCGTGATGCCCAGGAAAGTCCTTTAGTCATCACTGGATTCCAATGCAAAGTACAGGTGGCACTCCTAAGTGTTACTGAGCAATTAAGACTTATTGGTATAAATAGAATTTCACACTCTCTTTTGTAGATGGCAGCCATTAAGCTGTGGCATTTCTAAAATATACAATTCATCCTTGTTGGAATTCAAACTCAGAAATTACCTGATCTTTGCTTGTTAATATATTGGAATAGACATTCTCTAATGTATGTGACACAAAAGAGTCCCTACTGACTACAATTTGGATTTCTTGATGTCATGAGACTGTTGCTACAGAATGGAGAGTTTTTCTCCTATTACATGTGCTCTCTCTAGATTTAAACATTGCAAGGTTGCATGCCATAAAACATGCTTTACTGAATTTAAAGGCAGTAGTAGAAATGCAATAAAACTTCTGTAAACATCAAGTCTTGAATTGCTGATATAGCCTACCAAGAGAGAAGATAGAGGTCCAGAAGTAGTATAAAAAACAAAAGGAGAAGAAGGAGAAGGAGGAGGCAGAAAGGAAGAGGAGAAAAGGAAGAAGAAGAAGAAGAAGAATTGCTTCCACTTGTACTTGTTCAGCAAGAAGCCAGGAATTGTCAGACCTTCAAAACTGCTGCGGAGGCTGAGATGACCTGAGGACATGTGTAACACAGAACTCTAGGGCACACGTGCTTGAAGTCAGCTGTTTATTAAGCAGAGCTGGTGTTGTTGTGTACAATCCCAGATCTAATTATGACATAGATACAGCAGAAGACCAGGCTACACTGTGATTTGGAGGAGCCACCCTGTCCTGGAGGAGCACCTGTGAGAGGGCCAGAGATGTATATTGCCATTTTAAAACTGTAATTAAGGGGAGCGGGTATTTAGTGTAGTAGTTTATACACCCACATCCAAAATGGGACTATCTGGGTCCAATTCCCAGCTCCAGTACTTGACCCCAGCTCTCTAGCTTCTTAGTGATGTACACCATAGCAGGTAGCAGGGATGGTTCAAATCACTGGGTCTCTGGCATCTGTGTGTGAAACATGAACTGAATTCCTAGCTCCCAATTTTGGTCCTGGGCTTTTTGAGGACTGAGCCAGAAGATGGGAACTCTTTGCCCTGCTGTCTCTGCTTTCTTCTTGTGCTTTCCCCACCCATCAAATAAATAAGTAAAAATTCTAAAGGAAATGCACTGCTGTCCAATGCAGAATCATTACACCGGGATGTTCTTCAGTGCTACCACTGCAGGCAACAGACTTGAATGGCTACTACAGAAGTATCCAGACGATGTTAGCCTGAAACAGAAGCTTCGAAACTGTAGGAACACTCTTCAGATGATCACATTTATTATCATATATGAAAGGAGACCTAGAAACTAGCATGTGAATTTGGACAAATAATACATGATGAAAACTGGTACATAATTAAAGTCCTGTCTGAAAGACCACAGAGGGCTTTTATAATCTATCATCTAGTTTTTAATCTATCATCTAGTTATTTTTTTTTTGTCAAAAGTAACCAGTGAATTGAAATGTATCTAATTTTCACTTCAGACTGCTGATTCTTCCATGACAGACTTTTCTTCTCCCAGACTACCATAATAGTTTTTAATGGATAATGAGTGCAACAGAAATCAAAATCTCTACATACTGTGAGTAGATGTATTTTAATCTAACCTTTAAAATCCTAACATCAAATGCATTCCCATGTCAAAAGCTCATTTTACGAAGTTCAAAAAATTCAATGTAAAAAGGATGCATTCATTCATTCATTTAACAGAAGTAAAATCTTCATACTGAATAACAGAAATAGATAAGGCCTGCACTTCCTGAAGGGTATAACTGTGTGGATCATCCAGACTTTGAAATAAATGTAGAAGAATGTGTTAAATCGAATTCTTAAATCCATGTTTATTTATTTAGTGTTATTGCTGTTACTACTGTTCCTTGTCTTTTTTATTACATCTCATCACATCTTAGCATTGCAATACAAATACTGGAAAAATTGCTTTCATTAGATTTATGGCTGTTAAACATACTTTTCCTAGATACAAACAAAAGTAATGGAGAACTTTTAATGGCACATAAAGTATTCTTATCATTCATGTTATAATTAATATCTTAGGTTTCAAATATTTATATGCTCCATTGATTGTGCACATGTTCTAACGATAAGTCATTGATGTCTCCACACATATTGGCTGTGAAAAATACAGTACACCTTTTCAGGCTGCTGTGATTAGCATTTCTTATCTCATAAGTTTCTATCACCTTTTAATGCATCCTCTTGATAGAACAAATCAAAAGGGGAGAGATAAACTTAATCAAAAAGGGCTATTTACTTCTAAAACCAATTGTCTTCCCTGAAATGTAAAATTATTTCTAGAGGAATCAGTTGGTTCTGAGTAGAGGCTCTTCCATCTTACCTTGAAAGCCTTCAAGGGGACTATGAAACTCCAGAGTTCCTTAATCTTTCTCTTTGAAGTTCAGAGTGGCACACTGTCCTGGACTTTCTCATAACATTTTTGTACCTGCCGAAATTTAAACTCAGTTTGATAGTTTTGTCAACCAATCACTGTTTCGGATCCCTGATATGGGGTTATAAAGTGTCACTGTACCTATGAAGCCCATAATAATTCCCACTTCCTTCTCTTGCTGATACGTATTTGCTCACTGGATCATTTGGTTCCAAAGGGACTACTCTTACTTTCACTTAATTAAATAGCTCCTGGAAAGGCTGTTTTGCATCTTAAATATAGAGACTCAGTGTAACTTATCTGAAAAGAGCCACTTAACTCTGTCACCCTGACATTTCTCGTCTTGCTAAGGTTGGCAATCTAAGAAAACTCTAGGTTTCTTTAGTAAATATGACTGCCTATTTAAGATCCCTATCATTCCTGAAGTAGATATTAAAGTTTCTGTGCTATAATTCAAGACACTGGCCACACGGAACAGCCTTGATATTACCTGAGGGAGGTTTAACGGTCTATAAATAGTCATGACCATGAAACCACAGTGATATGAAATGATAACAATAGTAGCTTAGTATTCAAGTTAAATTTTTCAAATTCATATCCAGAGCACCAAAATTTATTGTAAGATATATAGAAGTGCAAAAGTGTGTGTATAAACTACAAATTTAGCTCTCAATTAGCACTTGGCAAGCTATGGCAACTGGGGAGTGTACACTGGATAACCATTTCTAACAAAACTTTGGTACCACAACTTAACATCCTTTGAATGAGCGTACTGATAGGTAATTCCTAAGCCATCACCAGTTCTTGAGTTTAAAACTTCACAATCTCCAAGTCTTCTTGTATTTGTTTAGA